AAAAAAAAAAAAAAAACAAATCTTTGATTTCTTTGTTTCATGGTGCTGTGGTAGTTAAGTTTATGAATACGCATATATAAAATGTATATATTTGAAAAGATTTTGTGAAGTAACGTAATTGGAACTCAAGTAAAGTTTAGAAGTTGATGGTGATAAATTTTAACTCTACATTCTATATAACTGTGGAGCAATTATGATATTTTAATGTTAGAAGAACATAAATAATCAACTCAAACACTTATCTTTTTCAGTTTGACCTAAGTTTAGTTTTGTATATTAAATTATATTTCGAAGAAAGTATTGATTCTTTTCATGTCTTGTACTCCAGATCTACACTGATTCCGCAGAAGCCAAGATTCCTGCTGTTCTGGACTACTTGGGAACCATAATTGAGGTATAATATATAAACTATATATACCCAGGCCTTTCTTTACCATTGACATCAAAACAGAAAATGGATCTAAAAATTCGTTATGTTTATTCCATCTCATATCAGTATTTCTTATCATGTGACTGAATGAACAATGTTGATCATGGTTTTGAACTAAGTTTTTTCTGACTAGAATTATTTTCTAATCTTAAATATGGTTTCTCTATTACTAAAAAATGTATCAGTAGTTCACTAATGTACTTTGAGGCTAATTAATAAGGCCGTGCGAGGCAGAGATTCTAAGTTTCACACTGATTTTGGAATTTGATGTTAGGCTTATTACAAGTTTTTATTTGAAGAAAGAAATTATAGTATTGTGTATTATTATGGTTTTCAGGCTGCTTTATTGCGCCAGCCCATATTTGTCTTGCAATGGCATGGTTTCTCTAGTATTAAGCTCATTGTGAATTTGAAGTAATATTTCAGTTTGGTGCGTTAATATCATGGATGCACCCAAGTAAATTTGGATAAAATCATTTTTAAGGAAAATAAAATTGAAGTTCTCATAAGAGGGGCGTGATTCTTTAATTTTATTTCGTCGGTTTTTCTAGGACGTATTTGTTGTGCTTTAGGCGAATTCAATTCGTCTGACATCCATTTCGCATGTGTGTTTGTTTGTGTAGCTGTTTGGACTCACCTCTTTTTTCATCCAATTGTTGCTTGTTTAGATTCTGTCCAAAATTGCCGTCCAGGTTTTTTGACATTTCTTTTGCTAGTTTGTGTGTGATCTCATTGTTGTGCACTAAGTTGTTTAGGCAGGCTGCAAGTTTTTGATATTTGCGCATCATCAACCTATGATTGACTCAATACACCAGTTTCTTCAGGTACAGTCCTATATTTCCAATATAATAATGTCATATGTGCACTCATGACATATTTACATGTCCATTGTGATATGTTTCAGAAGAAAAAGGTTGGATGCATAAGGATTGATGGCAGCACGCCAGCAGCATCAAGACAAGCTCTTGTAACGGAATTCCAGGAGAAAGATTCAGTGAAAGCTGCAGTGGTATTGCTCCTTTTTTGGTTCCATTTTTTTTTTTCCTTTTCTATATATTGGTACTTCTTATTTTCTTTTGTGCGCGATGTTTTTCGATTATGGTTGTGCAGTTGTCCATCAAAGCTGGAGGCGTTGGCTTAACACTCACTGCAGCAAGCACAGTGATCTTTGCAGAATTATCTTGGACTCCAGGGGACATGATTCAAGCTGAAGATCGTGCTCATAGGATTGGTCAGGTATGAAAAAATCATAATGGATGTAGGCTCTATTATGGGGACTCAAAATTCTGGTTCTGCGGCTAGAGTCAGCTCTGGGACATATGTTTCTTGGATTTTGGCTTTCTAGATTCTGATGGCTTAGATTCTTGGGCTGTTTTGAGGATGATCTGAGACGTCTGGTTTTTTGAACTTTATGGAAATTTTTTGTTTCATTGTGTTTTCAGGTTGTTCTGTACATTTCTGGTTCTATATAACGTTTAAGCTTGGTTAAGTGATCCACTTGAATCTCAGACAACGTGGATATCCTTTTACATTTTTGGAAGTTGTTTTCTCGACAAATTAGTGTTCAATATCGTCATTTCTGGAATTTCTGATGCAAGTTCCTTTGGATGAACTGATGAGAGCACTGCTACTTTTTTATAGGTCTCATCAGTCAATATATACTACCTGCTAGCAAATGATACTGTCGACGATATTATATGGTACTTCCTTTTTTTCCTCTACCTTAGAGATGCATTATCTAGTTGCACGATTTACCTGTTTACTTGAGAAAACAAAAATGCTGTCGATGATATTATACGGCACTTCCTTGTTTTCCCCTTCCTTAGACATGCACTATCTAGTTGCACGACATACCGGTTTATTTATGAAAACAAAATGTATATTCGACATAGCAGTAACTCGGTTGACTTCTTTCAGGGATGTCATTCAGAACAAATTGGAAAACCTTGGACAGGTACTTGTCCTAAATTTCTGTTTACTGTTCGTGCTATTGCACTCTGTCACATTAGGGAAACCATGATGAATATAGGAGTTGCATGTGATTAATATGATATGATACTATTTACTTGTATATACGTCATGATATATGTGAATTTATATGATACTATTTACTTACATTTATCATATTTAAGAAAGAATATGCAAGTGACCAGTGGAGATAAACGTGTTCATATTCATCCCTTGTGAGTTGTGACTCTTGTATTATCAATCATCACTTGAATATACTCATATTTATGACATTTCACAGTATTTTACACTCATATTTATTAAAAAAGTATGACGGGTTGACATGCCTAACTGTAGGCCACTTCCTAGCAGCGTTGGTGTGTAGTTTATTATTCATGATATCCAAGTACTAGATTCTTGGAATGCAATCAAACTTAGCACATATGTTTCTTTCTGTTCGTATAAATTGTGGACTTATTTGCTTTGGTGGCTATCCATATCTGTTTATTGGTAGCCCAATTTGACCTATGTATACGAACATAAGCTTATTGTTTGCATTGACTGGGCAGATGCTCGACGGGCATGAGAATTCCCTACAAGTTTCTGCTGATCTACCACAAAGCAGCCCGATTAAAGTTGATCAACAAAGAGGCAGCCCGATGAAACAGAAAACACTTGATACCTATGTAAAGCGCTGTAGTACTTCTTACTTTGACGAGGAACCCAAGCACAAATACCCCAGGAACTGAACATGCATGAGTAGTCGATATTCGTATTAGCTAATTGTGTCGGCACTCTGATGGTGAAAAGTTTAAATATTGGGAGCCTAATTTTCTACATGGTGAAAAGTTTAAATATTGGGAACCAAATTTTTCTTCATGGCAGCACTTCCATTATTACATTTTCTGCTAAGTTCACACCGTTTTCTTAGAATTCTGGATATTTGGTGAACACTGTCCCTATGTATGTTTATATAAAATATTGAAAAGTATGATCTATATTATTATTATTATTATTATTATTATTATTATTATTATTATTATTATTATTATTATTATTATAAAAGAAGAAGTGATTTTTATAAAAAAAAATTGTATAGACTAAAAAGTTCTTGTGTTTAGTATATATTTAATGGTGAAATTGTAATCATAAGTATAAGTATCCCTACATAAGTATGGTTTTCCTACAGTCAGGTACTCTTGTATTTTGGCTTGTACCTATTTAACAACAGGTACCTCTTAAATGAATCTCATGTGTCCTTTTGTTAATAAATTAAATAAAAAATCGAAAAACAAGCTTAATGCAAATATGAAACTACCCTTGTTTTAAAAAAAGAACTAATTTACTTAAAAGGTGTTAGAACTTTTCTAATGTTAACATTTAACCTAAACATAATTATATATCTCAAATAAAACCAACAATTAATTCAAAATTTTAATTCGAACGATCTTCTGCAAACAAGAAAACACTCACGAATATATGATCGGAAAAAGACGTTCTAAGATTTGACATTTGAAGAACACGAAGGTACATAATTTTGTTTTCTGATTCAATATTTGAAGAACAACATTATGTAAAATTTGTTTTCAATTTCTTGTTCTTCATTTAGATTAATGTCCAATCATCCAATAATGTGCATCCATGATTTTGTTGTGCATCCGTGAGTTATAAGACATGGATACGATGAATGTTGTAATGTGAATTTGTATTTGTTAATATGGATAATTCATTGTTATGTTTTTTTTT